AAAAGCTTCAAAATTTCATATTTAAATTTTAAAAGAGTTTCAATCTCTTCAAATCCCCGAGCTTGGGACAAACGAAAAGTCTTTGTTACGTTGTGAGAGATGAAAGAATAAAAATTTTCAGAACACGTATACACACCAAGCGCTGTTGTCTGCGCCCTTAAGAGCGAGTCCGGACGAATGCGTGCGTTCGTTTATTCACCTATCTCGTAGTTGTTACCGCGCGTACTCGTCTACATTCTTGCGAGAAAGTGTGAAAGAACTTGTCCTAGCGCAAGGTAAACGCGAAAAGTGGAAAATTGCAAGCTTCAAAGAACGAGAAAAAGAGAGAGAGAGAGAGAGAGAGAGAGAGAGAATGAGACGAGAGGGAGAGCGTGATCCTTTCTGGTCTGCCGTGAGCTTTAGGGTTGGTGGTTCGCATGCGCCCGTCGGGGTTCACGTGCCCTCCGCCATCACAAACCGTAAGACCCGCCTTCCTCGTACTGGAGACACGTTCTTAGGATAGCGAGAAACACACGTAGACACCAACGTCAGTTGCATGGTATCCGACCACCGGAGACCCCTTAGGATAGATAAATGATCGAACGTTCCGCGTTAAACAAGTAGACGCTGGATTATGTTTCTGTTTATACAATCTGCGCTGCATCCTCAGAATGCCAAAATTTATTACAACGTATAAAGCGGCTGCACTCCCGACTTCTCATCGATCCGATGTAGGGCTTAATTAGTATGTACAGATATTATCATGTTAACACGTTATCGCGCCGAAGTTATTTTAGCAAGAAGTTGTCTTGCATTTAAACATCACAATGTCGTCGATTATACATTATCAAGCTCTCATTTTCGAAATAATTTTATTTTTGAGTTTATATTTATGTTTAAGACTTACAATTAGAAGTGATATACATTTTACAATTTTTTTGGTACCATAACATACATATATTATACATTATATAATTATAAATTGTATTTCACATTTTTTAATTTTATCTAAAATTTTTATTTAAATAATTTAATTCTAATTACGTAATTATTACATGTACAAATATGCATATGTATATATTTATGCGACTAGAATTTAATTGTTTAAATATATAAATAGATCTTAAACAAAATCTTCAATAATATGAAACATAATTTACATTAAATATCTAATTTATATTACACGGTATCCAAAAATTGTAAATGCATCTGATACAAAATCATAATTATGCTTTCGTTGTAGTAAGTAACGAAACCTGTCATATGGTCAGCCATGAATGTCACGCCCACGAGACAAAAAGCCAAGTTTTTCTTCCCCGAACTTGTACAGATTGAAATTACGTGTTCAATCGAAACGTTGCTTTTCAATCTGTGGCGAGTGAAAATAGCTTGAAATCGATCGTCGGTACGACGGTGAAAAAGATTATCCACTTTTCCGTGTCAGATGATAAGATTTCGTGACCTGTGATTCACCGCATCGGGGCAACCTACACGTGCTGGGACTACTTTAACAGACTGTCGATCAATCAGTAGATATCCTCGTTTATCAACTCCTTTAGACGAAGACTAGACCCCTAACTAGTGGTCAAATGTTCCACGTAAAGTTCTCTTTTTTTCTTGACTGCATATACTGTTTCGAGCTTAACGAAGTTGGACGCATCGTTGCCCGTTTCTTCGAACGAATAGTATCGGTTTAACGTCTTTCAACGCCGTGGTCACGAGAACTGTCAAATCAGAAATTACGAAACAACGATGAGCGATATGCGCAAACGCTGGAAATTGGTTCCACGTCACGAGCCCGGGAAATCGTTAGCGTATAGTATACTAGGATGGAAGTCGCCATCAAAAAGGTTGCAAGAGGAGTTTAAGCGTTTCACGTCTTTCGGTGGCATGCGAACGAGTAGTGCAAGTCATAAACCCAACCCACGGCTCTCGGGCCGGTATTCGTAACAGGCATTACACTACCTATATCGCACTATCCCCCAAGGATGACTCTAAGTGCAAGTGTACCGAAACTTTCGTGGGTGCCCTCGTAAACCGGTAAGAGATGGCTTCAAGGTGACGGCAGGAAGCGAAACGTGTTTCTAACTCCCCACCACTCTCCCCCGCCTCTTTTCGTCGCACTTCCCTTTCCGCTTCTCTGTCTCCCTTTCTTCTTTCTGCAACATTCCCTTCCTTTCACTCGCGGGTAAGGTAAAGCCGACAACATTTCTACTACACTTGCCTCGTTGCACATATTCCGGCACCGTTGTCGGTGCTTCTGTAGGTCTTTCAAGCGAAGTTTCACAATGGAGGCGCGAGTCCACAAGGACGAAACTATAGGTATTGTCCGAATTATATATTTTTAATTAAATCTCTTCATGGTATAAAAATTTTGTCTGGTTATTTCGTTAAAGCGTCAGATAATGCGACAAATGAGCTCAACGTCAAGCATCCGTATATGTCATACTGCACCATTTTCAGTTAATCAAAAATATTTGTATTTACAATCGCGCCTCTATCACATATATTATTAATATGGAAATACATATATGGACTAATAGATTGACAATATGTGGTTTAAATTAGTGCAAACAGAATACAATATATGTTTAATTATTTAAATAAGTAAATATTGAAAACGGGAATATATGCGAAAACGTAATGCATACAACTGATTACGATCTGGTCTTGTTGAGTTTAGATCATTATACGTTGCTAAGCATTTGCAATATTTAGTATCGTCGAATAATGTCAATGTAATAATACAAATAACGTAATCTAAATAATATAATATAATAGAGAAATAAAAGGAATTTGATTTTATAAGCGGTTGATTGAAACAGTACGTTGTCTGGATGTTAAAAATATTGCTTCTTAACGTAATAAGTCCAAAATTAACTTATTACTGTTACATCGATTGTTTAATATTTAGGAATTGTTTGTCTAAAAGACTGATACTAAAACACGAAAGTAATCGTAAAAGTATTAATGTCAAAAAAAGTATTATATCCTTTATTTATATCAATAATTATCTTTCATCCAATTACTAAGAAGCGTTAGAGAGACATGAGAAATAAAATAATAATACTAATGCATAGATTAAACATTATTATGTTTAATAATAATGTGTTGAATGTACTATTATATAATACTAATGCATATATTAAACATTATTAAATAATGTGTTGAATGTACTATTAATTATTATTTTTCATATACCTACATTGAAATTAAGTGAATAAATACTTTTTATTATATTTTTAATTGCATGTAATTTCATGAATCAAATATCTTTTCTAACGATACGAAAGATAACAGGAAAAAATTATGTAAATGTAAATGAATGATATAAACAAATGGATATAACACGAGAGAGATTTCTCTATTAAACTCACAATCAGTACACATCTATAAACGTCAATGTGATATACTGAAACATACTCAGACTATTTATTACTCGCAATTAAGATACGCAAATCGTTTTTGAATAATGTTTGCCCCGACAGTTTGTTTATAGAATCGCGCCCACAGTTTTAAAGCCGCGGAAGCTGCTATCTATGGCGTATAACTTCCAGCCTGCGGGCTGTCCAACGGAAAAGAAAAACGCCACGATCGTTTGTTTTTAGATTCGCATCCGTGATAAAATCAAATTGCACGGGAGATCGGGCGGGACGTCGCGGAGGTCGTCCTGGACGTCGAAGCGGCTCCGGAAAATGCCCATTCCCAGTGAAGGACTGGATGCTCATTTCCTGCCGTCGGCGGGCCCGCAAACGCGAAACGAGTAATTCGATTTTCTGCGAAAGCGCTAAGAGGCGTCCAAAAGCTTCGACCGCGCTCACGGTTGCCGAGTCGAGAAAAGAATCGCGCTGCCTCTTTATTTTTTCGTCTTGCTCTAAAAGTACCGAGCTTTTATGCGCTCTAACGCGAGCGTGCGAATCGCAGCGCGAGGAAACACACGGAGAGCAAACGAACGAACTTGAGAAGTCTCTTTAACAATGAACTCGTTCTTTAATCTCGTATATACTACGAATGGGAATTCGCGAGCTTTACTTTCTTTATCGTTGCGTCGATATCATACTTATTTAATTATTAGATATTAACCGGATATATGTATTTGACGCACAATCACAAATAGATCCTTTCATCATTTTATACACGCTGCTCAAATTATTTTGCGCCATGTCCCCTCTATATAGATTTCACTTTTTTAAATGCTTTATTTTGTTTTATTCGCTCTCAATCAATCATTTTACGGTATTTAATCGTTAAATGTCAAACTGTCAAACCAACAGAATCAACCCAAATTTACTCGGCCGAATCATATGATTGGCAACCAATTAGAACGGCGGATAAATAAACAACAATACTTGCGTGATATCTAACTTCCATGTTTCACTTCTTTTTGCACGCGCAGATTTAGCCTGCGCATATCTTAAAAAATGATTTAATTTATTATTATTTGAAAATGTAATGTATTATACAAAAAAGCGTACAAGATTTGTTTGTATAAACCTAAAGAGTTCTATTATTTATGAATAATGTCGCTTGAATGAAAACTGAATGGTTGCTAAATAATATATATTATAATGAAATTATAGCTAATTTTTATGGCATTTCGGCTCTGTATTACCATTGTACCATTAATTAATGCCTAGAATTGTAAATGACGTGCTTTTAAGTAAGAATTTACATACATAAAAGCATATAGAGCTTTCCTCAGCGTTTCCATCTGGTTTAAATCATATGTTCTACTCCCTAATCTTTTTCCACTTGCATATGTGCAGTCTGCAAATTCAGGAAAATTTTCCCCGTCTACATTTTCTCTACGTCTACGTCGGGCGTGGTACGACGTTCGCGAAAGAACACCGCGGCGCTCGACAATCATGTA